CGAGTAGGTGAAACTACAGATGCATGCCACCACGTCCAGCTAATTTTTGTGATTTATTGTAGAGACCAGGTCTCATCAGATTGCCCAGGCTGGTCTCAAACCCCTGGGCTCAGGCAATCCTCTCACCTCAGCTTCCCAAAGTGCTGGCATTACAGGCTGAGTCACCGCGCCTGATCAAGTTACAAGTTTATTTAAACAAGTCCAGCTAAGTTCTTTCTATTCAGTTATGAGTTATTAGTCATATACAGCAAGTTCTGGTTCACACAAGACCTGACTTGTGATTAACCTTGAACATAAGTCTAAACTAAACACCCCAAGAAAAGGATTTACATCTTAAAGAAATGAGTACATTTTGGGAATTTTAGGAAGTTTCACTGAGTTCATCTCTTAACTTGTGAAGGCTTCTTCAGAGACATGCAACTCAGCTTTCTCATGTCTTCTACTTATCAGTTGGCCGGTTCTGCTTCAGCACCAGCTTGTTATATAAAACTGGCCTTTCAAACCAGTTGGGCAAGGTTGTGCTAACAGAGGACAATAGGGAGAGGCAAGGAAAAAAATGTGCATTTAAAAAATTTAATTCTAAAGTAGTGGGGTACAATTCAAGGTTAGGTATACAAATATTCATTATGCAGGTGCCCTTGTTGATGAGGTGTGCCCCCACTTCCCTGGCAGTTTCTCACTACTGTCAATCCCTTTCTTATTGTATTATAATTGTTCAAGGTCTGCTTATGAGTGAGAGCATGTGGTGCTCAGTTCTTTGTTCCTATGACGGATCACTCAGTATTATAGACTCTAAGTCCATCTAAGTTACTGTTGAAGTTCATAATTTTGTCCTTTATGGCTGCATAAAATTCCATTGTGTATATGTACCACATTTTTTTTTCAATCCAGTTTCAACGGGCAGCATGGTTGGTTCCATGTTTTTGCTATAGTGAATAGTGTTGTAATAAACATGCACGTGCAGGCATCTTTTTCATAGACTAATTTGAGTTCCTCCGGGTATATTTCCAATACGGGTGTTGCGTGGTCATATGGAAGGTCAATTTTTAAATCTTTTAGGAGTTGCCAAGCTGTTTTCCACAGAGGTTGTACTGGTTTACACTCCTACCAACAGTGGGATAAGACAACAGATAAACAGCAATTTTTAGGTATTAAGAAATGTTGAAGGGCTGAGTCACGCTTTCTGGCCTGGAGTCATCTTCAGCCTTCAAAAGAGAAACAAAGTGTTTGTTCTAGATTCTGGAGAAATTTTGGATCAGACCATCTTGGGCCCACACCCTGCCTCTTAGCTCCCAATATGAGACCCTCCCTGTCCACCCTTTTGCACCCTTCCCTGGCTCTGCCCTGCCTCCCACCTGTGGATAGATCCTTCCCCATGCATGTCTGAACATATTCACTCTCTATGTTCCTGCTGCCACCACTACACCCATTACATGAGCCCTTTCTTGGCCAGTGGCTCTTTCTTCCTCAAAACATATCTTGCCAAAACATATCTTGTGTGGACATGATTCATGGCAAGCTCACTTTTCATGTCAGGGACCAAACTTAAAGCAGACACAGACCTGAGTCTTGGTATCCTTTAAAGTAATTAAAAGGGTGAAATCATTTCTTTTATAAAATTTTTTTATTTTAAATATGTGGGGTACAATTCAGGGTTAGGTATACACATGTTCACTATGCAAGTAACCTTGTTGATGAGGATCTGCCCCAACTCCCCTGGCAGTTTCCCACTACTGCCAATCTAGCCCCCACCAAATCATTTCTTGGAGATCAGAAACTTTGATCTCCAGTGAGTCATAGATGAACCAGGGTGTGGTTTCCATTAGAAGGAATCTTAGCTTTGGTCACAGAGCCCTAGGAACTGTGACTTTAACTGTAGAGCTGCCAATTTTTCTAAATCGCTATACTTAAGTTTTTGAGTTCTACCTGGGTCCATCTGGAAAGGACACTATTAAGAGAAAGATAGCAATAGAAGAGAGAAATGAATTCTTAGTGTCCAAGCAGTGATGGAAAAAGAAAATTAACTAGTAGATATTTGGTAGTGTGTCTAGCTGGCATGCGTGCTCTCTCTCTCCCCCCAAACACATGTTAGATTCTCACTGGAGAAAACATATAATGCATTTATAATTCAATTAATCATCACTGAGTATATTCCTGACAGGAGAGTATTATCAGTTTGTCAAGACATTAATGAAAACTGACACCTCTGCTTAAATTTTGAAAAAAATATTTTTTGTTGTTGAAATGTAACATCCCTAAAGTATACAAATTTTGGGGGGAGGGGGTTGGAATCTCCCTCTGTCACCCAGGCTGGAGTGCAGTGGCACGCTCATGGCCACTGCAGCCTTGACCTACTGGGCTTAGGTGAGCCTTCCACCTCAGCCTTCCAAGTAGCTGGAACTACAGGTATGTGCCACCACCCCAAGCTAATTTTTTTTTTTATTTATTGTAGAGATAAGTAGCCCAGGCTGGTCTTGAACCCCTGGGCTCAGGCAATCCTCTTGCCTCCACCTTCCAAGGTGCAGGAATTATGGTGTGAGGCACTGAGCCCAGCTAAAGTACACAAATCTTCTTTTTTAAAAGGCAGGATTTATTGAGAAGATAGAAAAATTCCCACAGTGGGAGGGGACCCAAGAGGGTTGCCCTAAAATACACAAATCTTTTTTTTAATTTTTAATTTTTTTATTTTTTTTTGAGTTGGAGTCTCACTCTGTCACCCAGACTGTGGTGCAGTGGCCGCTCCCGGCCACCGCAGCCTCGAACTGCTGGGCTCCGGCGATCCTTCCGCCTCAGCCTTCCGAGTAGCCGGAATTACAGGCATGCGCTACCACGCCCGGCTGATTTTTTGATTTATTGTAGAGATGAGGTCTCGCTGCCCAGGCGGGTCTCGAACCCGCGGGCTCAGGCAATCCACTCACCTCAGCCTCCCAAAGGCGTGGGATTACAGGCTGAGCCACCGAGCCTGGCTGCACAAATCTTAAATGGTCAGCATGATGCATCTTAAAAAATGAAAATATCTGCCTGCATAATCACCTGTTAATTCAAGTTATAGGTCATTACCCAAGGTATCTACTATTGCCAAAGATTCATTTTGTCTGTTTTTGAAATTTATATAAATGGAATCATAGATTATATATTATCTTGTGCCTATTTTCCTTTCAACATTCTGCCCATGACAGTTATCTACTTTTTGTGTAGTAGTGAGCTTATTCTTGATCTATTTCCATATATTGTTCTACTTTATCTTTTCTAGGATATGCTAATGTATTCCACTTTATCTTTTCTAGGATAGGTTATTATGTTAATAGGTATGTCAATTCACATATTATTCAATCTGTGGCCCTGTATCTTTGTGCTATAATATGTAGTGTGTCAACACAGTTGACTGGTAGTTTGTGGGTAACAATCATTTCACTGCACATAAAAGTGAGAGTGGACACACACATATATTCCTAACTCATCTTCCTCCTAACTGAATTTTACAAATGTCATCAGCCACCTCAGCTCTACCTGACATGGAAGGAAATTTGATGGAGTGTCAGAGTAAATTTAGCAGTCATAATTGATTGTGAGCAAATATCTTACTTATGCGAATTTTAAAACATGAACAAGTTGACACATTGCAAAGGCTCCTTCAAGGGTCCTAGAAGAAGTTCAAATAAATGAAGCGTTCTGAAACTTAAGCTTTATTAGCTTCTTGGAAAACATATCCTCAAGTGCAAGAAAATATATTAGATTGGCAGGCAGACTGTCAGCAAAGCTGTTTTTGACATCAAGGTCACTTTGATGGTCTAACTTTGTCGCCCTCTCAGGGTCCCGAGAAGAAAGAGCAGGTAATGGAACAGATGCAGTGATACTAAAATTGTTGAGCAAAATCATGCTAAACTTAGAGAGCAAAACACCTTTTGATCAAAGGGCTGGGGGATCCGTGGGCTGGATGGTGAGGAGACAACATGCTAGCCAGGCTTTCCAGATTTTTTACCTGCCCTTCCTCAGGAGATACTTGCTTTGTCTTTCCTCCCACTGCACTTTTGTGCTGTCAGTGACAGGGTTATACCCAGCTTTCCTGTGATGTTGAGGTCTCAAGACTAAGAGAATGCATTATGTCTGTGAAGAGAGATGAATCAATGACTAGGGATTGGGTGAGACCCATGAGTCGCCCCTCTCAAGCTTTTGCCTGACTAATATCTTCTGAAGAACCAGAGCTGCATCTCATTTTTCATGGCACCTATTTTCTTCTAGGTGTATCTGATGAGATAAACTGCAAGTGGAACTGATTCCATTGAAGCAATGAGTACGATAACTGAAGTCTGGTGGGTATTTGAGGAATTTTCCAGTGGCACTACAACAAACAAAAAAGCACAAACCCTGTTAAACCTAAAAATATAACTTCAACCTCTGCTTTTCCCAGGAACACATGGCACCCCACATATTTACTGGTTCTTTTTGGAGCCAGTCTATCAGGTCTTGAGGTATAAAAATCAATAGAGGTTTTGCCTTGTTCTTACAGAGTTCAGATTTCTACTCAAGGAGATGGCAAATGTCCATCTGATTATCATACAATTTGATATGTTTACTGTGGTTAGAATTTTTTAGAGGATGATACCATTGGTGATGCTTAATTCTGTCTAGGGAAAGTGGTGAAGGCTTCATAAGAAGTGGCATTGGAGCTGGTTGAAGGGTAAATATGACAGATGAAGAAGGGAAGGCCTGGAAGTTTACAATGATGCATATAGATTGGGACCATTTAGCAGTGGGTCATTAGTGATTGGATCACTGGTTAATGGAGATTGGGACACTGAGAAAGAAATGGTGAGAGGTCAGATAAGAAAGGGAGGATGGTGGATTATGGCTGCCACTGACTCCCCAGACAAAAAGTCCACCAGGAGCTCAATCAATCAATTGGTCCATCAGATTTTCCATTACACAAACACATACTGACACCCACACAGAGAAGGCTTTTGACCTTTAAAGAGGGCTACCACATTCTCCCACCCTGCTCAGTTACCTCCAGTCACTTCCAGCATCATCTTCCACTGCTCTAAGAATTTCCTGAGCCAGTGATTGCAGTCTCCCGTTGAGATCTTCCTGAAATACTCTGTCAGTTCCCTGTCTTTCTCCCACTTCTCCTTGATTCTATTGGCTCCAGGATTAATTACTGTCCAGTTTCTGTTCATTGTGTCAAAGAGGAAAGATTTCTGCCCATTGATGCTGAACTCCCAGAATGCACCAGTGCATTGTTCTGCTTCACACTGACAAAGCACTTTGGCCTCTAGGGTGGGATGACCTGCAATCCATACACAAAGCCATCACCCTCAACTCTTGACAGATCCATCATCTTTCAATAGACCAGGCATTTCTCTACACATTTAGGGACCCATATTCTTTTCTCTCTGTCTTGTCCCCTTCTTGCTCACTGGGTCCCATGTGCTCTTAAGGTTGGGCCAGTGTTCAGCTCTTTTGCATAAATACACTTAGCCATCCCTCCCACATGTGCTATTCTCCTCCCCTTTCTTTTTTTTTCTTTCATTTTTTTGAGTTGGAGTTTCACTCTGTTGCCCGGGCTGAAGTGCAGTGCCACACTCACGGCCACCCCAGCATCGACCTACTGGGCTCCGGCAATCCTTCTGCCTCAGTCTTCCAAGTAACCGGGACTACAGGCACGTGCTACCACGCCCGGCTAATTTTTGATTTATTGTAGAGATGAGGTCTCACCAAGTTGCCTGGGCTGGTTTCGAACCCGTGGGCTCAGGTGATCCACTCGCCTTGGCCTCCCAAAGTGCTGGGATTATAGACTGAGCCACCAAACCCAGCACCTCCCCTTTCTTGCCACCTGCCTCCATCTCCCCACCTGTGCCACACTTACGCCTGATTTCGGTTTCCTCAAGTTTGCCAAACAGGATCATCCGGAGCTCTTGCCCCACTTCTTTCAGCATTGGGGTCAATTCTTCCCCCGTTCTGGTGGCATTTACCTTCTTACCCAGGGGACCCAAAGGTTTGATTGCTTGGCTGTCACTGTCAGACTGAAGGAAAGGCTCTTTGTCTACTGAGCCCTGCACTTCACACCAGGGCTGCCCAGGTCTGGACCAAGATTTAACAGTGAAGAGGAGGCAAAGAGAGTGGGCATCTATCAGAGAAAAACACAGGTGAGGTTCAGGACAGGAAGAAAAGGCTCACCAGAACCCATGCTTCTGTGACCCCGAGACTCCCACTATGGGCCAGGCTGGCAAAGGGAGGCATCCCAGACTGGATCCTAGGTCCTGTCTCATCTTTGACTGTCTGAGGTTACTGAGATATGATGGACCCCTTTGGTGCACTTAGTGCTAACAGAAGGATTCATCTCACAAATATTTTAAGCAACATCTGCCAAGTTCTGCAGTACAAAAAAATACAAGACAGTGTCTATTCTCCCAGGATTTAAAATCTAGCTGAACAGAAAGGGCTGTTAACAGAAAGGAAAAAGAGGCATTATAGAACATCTGCCAAATTCCTCTGGGTCCCAGGTGCTCAGGAGGGCTTCCTGGAATTGAAGATAGAGGAGTAGAGGGAGGGTTAGCATCAGAGGGCTGGGATCCGCATGAGCTGGTGGTAACATCTCAGGGAACCTCTTCCACTAAATCACACCCTCACCCTATCCTTATGAGCAGGGTGCACTTACCTGAAACCTGCTTGAAGCCCCAATCTCTTCTTCCCCCCATCTCCTCCCCCCCGCTTCTCACCAGGTTTCGCCATCCCAGGACACTCATGATCCAGAGTCTTTGACTCTCCTGCTGACAGCATTAGGAGCAGAAACAACCATACAGTGCTTGATGCCAGAGACATTCTTGAACAGTCAGCAGAAAGTAACTGGAAGGAAGCCAGTCATATACACGCACATACTATCACTGGTGGGCGTGGGCATAGCCCAGAGTTTTTACCCTCGATCAGCTCAGGACAGACCTGTTAAGAGCCAATTAAAAAATAATTTTGTCAGTGTTTGGCAAGTATTCAAAATATACAAGTGGGGACCTAAAGATGAAACTTATCTATAAACAATTGTGTATTTATTCTTACATGTTTAAACTTGAGTCACCTTCAAAGTACGCTCCATTTGATGCAATACCCTGATTGAGACACGGCTCTACTTTTCGAACTCATTAATTCTGAGTCATTTTAGTGCTTCTGCTGCTTTTTGGTTTCACCTCTTTCACATCAGCAAAACATTTCCCTTTGAGGATTTTTTTCAATGGGAGACAGCAAAGAAGTTTCTTGGGTTGAGATCAGATGAATAGGGAGGGTTGGCATGGGGTCATGCTATTTTGGTGTGGTGTGGGTTGGTTGTTCGTATCATGGGCAGATGTGTTGAAAAAAATTTCCAAAGAAATAACTGAAGCTGAACCCAGCCTCTCACAACAATGCTAGCTGGTACACTGATGCCGATGAGTTTCTAGAACACTTGCCTAGTGGAGGAAGCCTGCACTACGAGGAGTTTGCCCTCCAAAAAATAATTTTGTTTTTTAGGGGTGCCCCTTTATAATTATTCATAAAAGGGAGACATTTAATAACAAAACTCACTTTGAATAATCTCTCTTTTCCTAAATCCCATGCCCTTAAAATAAACAGCCCCTGGTGTGAGCAGGAATGTTGGAGGTTATATGAGCTTCTTTCCTCTTTCAACCAACTTCCTCTCCCCACCTCCTCCCTGTGTCCTTTGCCCTCTTCCTTCCTCCCATCTCCTCCTCATCTCCTCTTCCCTCTCCCACCATCCTTAAGCCATTCAAACTCTTTCATCTTAAATAACTGAGATTTGCTGACACCAAGCACACATTAATGTGAAACTAGCTGGTGATCACAGATCTATCATCACAGATGGGTTTTATAATAGAGTCCAACAATCTTGCTGGGGCCAAGTTTTCAAGAAAAGTCATTGTTATCATTGGAAAAAATCTGGCGGCTCTGAGTGTTGCATTCTGAAAATTAGTCTGAGAACATGTGGTGGGGATAAGGGATTGTTGGTCCAGAGGATGGATGAAAAAAGCAAGCCACAAGGAAGGTAGAACCAATAATTATATGTTGTCTGTGGGAGCTTGTTGGTATAAACAATGCTGAACCTAAAGTCCAAAGAGAGACTGAAGTTCTGAAATGAATTGGACTGGATTATTTAATCAAGTCCATCACAACTTTTTGATAGCAGTGTACTCCAGAGTTTCTAGCTGTGCCCTCCCCGGCCCGGCCGCCTCGTGTTCCTTGGCTCATGGTTTTACCAACCAGCCTGAGGCACCAAGGACCAACAGAGAGGCTGAGAAAAACTTAGGGTACACAGAGAGAAGGATCAGAGGGAGGACAGGGCAAGAGAAGGTGGAAGGAGGGGGTTAGGGCAAAAGAGCAAGGAGAAACCCTTGTTCCCCCGAATGGGAAAAGGGGCAGTGTGACCCAGGTTGGGCAGAGGCACAGATCTGACTACTTGGCACATGGGCAAAGGACCCACAGAGCCACCCTCTGTCCCTCCTGCCTTAGCAGCACCCCTGCCCCCATTCCCCTATGTGCTCCCCCCGCCACGCCGCCCCACTTTTACTTTAACATCCCCTCACTTTCTTACCACCCGATTCCCACACTTTTCTCCTTTACTCACAAACATGCACACATCCCTTCCCTACTAGTGTTTTGAGACCTTGTCTGCCGCCCTTTCCTTACCGGATGCCTGCAAGAGACATTTTTCCTCCTGCCACTTCTGAAATGGTGACTCTCTTCCCGGAACTCTCTTACCAAACTCTGAGGAGTAGAAAACAGTGGAGCCCCACTGGGCGTGGTGGCGAAGCCTGTGTGGCAGACCCACCCATCATGCAAAGCCATTAGTCATTCAAGAGTGGGGAGCCCTTGCCAGTCTACTTCAGTACTGAATTTCTTATCTTCTGTTTTTTAAGTTGGAATCTCACTCTGTCGCCCAGACTGGAGTGCAGTGGCCGCTCCCGGCCACCGCAGCCTCCATCTGCTGGGCCCCGGAGATCCTTCTGCCTCAGCCTTCCAAGTAGCTGGAACTACAGGCACGCGCTACCTCGCCCGGGCTAGTTTTTTATTTATTGTAGAGACGAGGTCTCGCCAAGTTGCCTGGGTGGACCTCGAACCTGCGGACTCAGGCAATCATCTCACCTCGGCCTCAAGAAAGTGCTGGGATTACAGGCTGAGCCACCGAGCCCGGTCAGTACTGGATTTCTTATTAATGGTTGAGATCAGGTTTAAGTCCCAGCCACAACATTTCAGAAAGAATTAATTATTATTATTATTTGAAGTTAGAGTCTCACTTTGACACCCACGCTGGAATACAGTTACGTAATCACACCTCACTGCAGCCTTGACCTCCTAGGCTCCGGCAAGCCTCCTGCCTCAGCCTTCTGAGTAGCTAGGACTACAGATGTGCACCACTACGCCCAGCTATTTTTATATTTTTTGTAGAGACAGAGTCTCGCTGTTTTGCCTAGGCTGGTTTTGAACTCCTAGGCTCAAGTGATCCTCCCACCTCAGTCTCCCCAAGTGCTGGGATTACAGTCATGAACCACTATGCTCAGCCTGGAAAGGACTGAATTTAATTTTAGCAGTTACTGAAGACCAGTTCTTAATGATATATATACGTATGTATGTATATATGTATGTATGTATGTTTTTCTTTACAATGTATCGTGTGACCTAACATTTTTTTCAGTATTTTGGCTTGCTAAAAATCATGACTTTAGGCCATGATAGAGTCCCTCTACAGCCTGGTTTCTGATGAATATTGGGTTGTTGTCCTGCTCTCTGGAGGCCTGGAGCTTGTGCTTCCTGGAGATGTTGTTTTCACAGTGCTTCCATGAACCTAGCTGTTCTCTTATCTCCATTCCCATCCACAAGTGGAATATCAGCTCTTCTGAGTCACTCTATTTATGCACTTAAAAAAAAAAACACAAAAAAACACTTGATACCAAATGTGTATGCATATAGTCAACTTTACTAAAGATTTAGGGGTTATGTGGTAGTGATGTGAAGAATTAAAACAATCATGCTGAGTACAATGACTAATCCTGTAATACCAGCACATTGGGAGGCCAAGGTGGGAGGAGCACTTGAGGCCAAAAGTTCGAGACCAGCCTGGGCAACATAGCGAGACCTCGTCTCTACAAAAAATTAAAAAATAAGCCAGGTGTGTTGGCATACACCTATAGTTCCAGCTACTTGGAAGGCTGAGGAAAGAAGATCTCTTGAGCCCAGTAAGTGAAGGCTACTGTGAGCTGTGATCATGTCACTGCACTCTAGCCTGGGTGACGAGTGAGACACTAACTCAAAACAAAAAACAAATGAACAAAAAAAGCAACCACCAAAAAAATAATGAAATATGAGTTAGACCTCTTTCCTACCTCTTCTTTGCGCTAGAAATAAAATACCCATTATTTGACTACACTCTCATCTAGTACCTGACCCTTGTTTTAAGCCACCATCCTTCCTAGCCTGGGTTATTGTGGTCCTGACCTACTTGGTCACCTGTGCCTACCTCTGCTTCCTAAGTGTCTATTGACAATTCAGCAGCCAGAGCATTCCTTTAAACCCTAACTCACTCATACCCTCCTCTGCTCAAAGCTTTCAAAGGTGCCCTCTTTTTCTCAGTAAAAACAGAGGCCTAGGGAATCCTGCACAGTCTGGCCAGCTGTCCTCTACTCTGTCCCCTTGCTTATTCACCCCCTTCCCAATCCTCTCTGGTCTCCAGCACCCACAGATGTTCTCCTGCCTCAGGGCCTTTGTCCTGCAATCCCTTCAGCCTGGACTGTTCTTTTTCGGGCATTTACCTGGCTTGCTCCCACACCTGTTCCCAGGAGACACACTCTTCCATATCTGGTTCTCTCCCTTCCATTTTATTCATTTTTTTCTTTCTTTATTTTAAAAATTGTGGTATAATATTTGTAAAATAAACTCTTCCATCGTAGCATGTAAAAGAACCTACTTAAAATTGCAATGCCTCAGCCTGCCAGGGCAATTCTGAGCCTTCTTTTATTTTTCAATTTTTAATTTTAAAGATGTGAGGTACAATTCAGGGTTAGGTATACAAATGTTCATTGTACAGGTACCCTTGTTGATGAGGTATGCCCCCCCCTCCCCTGACAGTTTCCCGCCACTGCCAATCCCTTTCTTATAGTATTATGATAATTGTTCAAGGTCCGCTTCTGAGAGAGAATATGTGGTACTCAGTTCTTTGTTTCTGTGATAGATCACTGAGTATGATAGACTCTAAATCCATCCAAGTTGATGTGAAGTCCATATGTTTGTCCTTCTTTATGGCTGCATAGTATTCCATTGTGTATATGTACCACATTTTTGTTATCCAGTCCAGTTTCAATGGGCAGCATGGCTGGATCCATGTTTTTGCTATTGTGAATAGTGAAATGTGTGTACAGGTCTCTTTTTTGTAGAATGATTTGAGTTCCTCCAGGTATATTCCCAATAGAGGGATTGTTGGGTCATATGGAAGGTCAATTTCTAGTTCTTTCAGAAATTGCCACTGTTTTCCAAAGAGGTTGCACTAGTTTGCATTCCCACCAGCCGTGTAGAAGTGTTCCTTTTTCTCCGCATCCTTGCCAACATCTGTTGTTGTTTGTTTTATTAGTGATGGCCATTCTTACTGGGGTTAGGTGGTATCTCAATGTGGTTTTGATTTGTATTTTTCTGATGATTAGTGAGGCTGAGCACTTTTTCATGTGTCTGTTGGCAGCCTGTATATCTTCTTTTGAGAAGTGTCTATTCA